AAGTGACTTTAATTAATGAAGCATCACATGCTGAGAAAAATTCTGATTATCACCCGAAGTGAGAGGAGATTTCCCATTCCCTTTGACAGCCTTTTCCTGTTAATCCAATTTCAATCAAGCCTCCCCCACATTTTTCCACCCACCTTAGTCAATATCCAAGACAGTCACTCAAGGTGAGTGAGCCAGAGTCACCTGTCTCCGGACTTCGTCCGCCTGACTGACACTCGTATGATATGAATATGTAATCCCTCAATCTGTCGGCGAAATGGAATTGCAAGTCCAAAGCGAAAAATATTTATTTGCAGAAGTCACCGATTGGTTTGCGCTATTTCCATATGCGCTACTGACTGCCGACTGCATTAACTGGCGACATTTTCCATCCGATGGATGAATGGGAATGGAATGGACCAGATCCTCCCTCGCATTTATATTCATCCCGGCCGGGCATTAGTTATTGTTTGCCTTTGTCTTAGCCATATGAAAAGAAATTGGCGCCCAAGCAAGGGCTTGTTTGTTGGTCAGAACGGGACAACGGAATAACGGGAAAGTTTTTCGGGGGATGGGAAACTGGGTAGTCTGGCGCCAAAGTGCAATTTGTCAGGCTCGTGACTGGCTCAACTGGAAAAGGGAAATGGGGAAAATGCTGCGGAATTGGGAATCCGGCAGTGGGAAAAGCACCTCGCTCCATCTTGGCTCGCTTCATTTGTTGGCTTAAGTAACTTAACAACTTTACGCTTGCAACTCGCGTACGCGACTCCTTCGGCGACGTCCTCTTGTTTATATTGATAATGTGCCATTTATTTTATTTAAGGCATGCCCGCTCGATTTGCAGTCACGTTCCGGCATCCGGAGAAGGCGACTACGACTGCGATGGAGACTACGACGGCGAAAGGACGAATGAATTGTGTAGGTTTCAGCAACTGCGACTGCGAAGTGGCACACACATGTGAGTGTGGCTATGTGCAAGGACATGCCACAACTTGCTGTTGCATAATGCATTAAGTGCTGGTGGGCGAAATATCCTGGGTGGCTGCGGGAGTTGCTCTGCTGAGTTATTGACTTGAAGTTTGTTGCGGAATTTCCAAGTGCAACGTGTGTAAGGCATAACAAATTAGGCGCGCCTGGCAGCAGAATGTTGCAGCATTCCGAATGGGGCGGCAATAATGGCGGCGGTGTGGCATATAATGGCAGGTGAGGGGACACTGCACTCGAAACTGATTTCGGTGTTGCCCCAGGACAACGAGGGATTTATGCAGTCGTATTGCATTTAAAGTGGATCCACAGACACACACTAAATTCTTGGCCAACTATTCGCCTTTATCTAGGAAATCTTCCTTTGGTAAAAATGTTGATTATATATATTATATTATAAGATCTATAATGGAAATTGAAAATTCAAAACACTATCTATTCCTTTCTTAAAGCTATTAATAATCGCAATAAGTGTACACTTTTAAATTGCAAAGCAACTAGCGAAACTTGTCACCAATTACCGAAAGAAAGCACTTTTTTAGCAATTCGCCATTTGAATTGATTCAATGACAACCGCAAAGTTTTCGCTCTTTTCCTTTCAATTCAATTCCATTCTTCGTTTCTTTTCTCTGCTTCTCCATTTATTTTGAGCAACTATTGATAATTCTTCTTTGCCATCGCTTCTCTGATTGGTGTGCGCTCTATTTCCCATTTCCAGGGAAGTTTTATTTAAATTGGATTTACTTTTTTTGGTTTATTTTGCACATTAAGTTGCTCTTGCCAGTCATTTCTTCTGCTCGGCTGCTTATTATTATTATCGATTTCAATGCTGTCCAGCAATTTTTCATGCCAAATTGGAGAAGCGAAGGCAGTGGCGAAAAAATAGATAATGGAATTAAAAATAATTGGATGACATTGAATGTGTGGGTGAGCGAGCCGAATCAGAGCGACGGCGGCAAAAGTTTATTTATTTTTTCATGTCAGCCAGTTCCTGTTGTCTTTAAAATTTAATTACCAAAGTATTTCCGAGGCGGCTCGAGGCGTTCCGGAAATTCAAGCGTCAACTACAAAATTGGTATAAACAACAGCGAAGCCCCGAAGATGTCAAAGTGGCCGGCTTTGTTCTCCCTTCCCCATTTCCCCCTTTTCCCCCATTTTCCTTTTCTGAGCGGAAGAGTTGCCATTTTCATTTTCATTTTCCTTTGCGGGGCGCCATTTTCTTTCATTCTTTTCGACCATAATTTGCATGGCATGGGAACTTGACTTTTGTTGGCCCGCCCCTTAAAAGAAAGGGAAAGGGGGAGAGACGGCGCGGAAAATATGTTGCAGCGGCGGCGGCGGCAGTGTTGGGAATATAATAGAAAAATAAGGTGCCACACAATATGGCCGAGAGCTTTACAGTTGGTTAAGTAGCAAAAGCGTGGCAAAAGGCGGAGTATAAAGTGCCACCAGCCAAGCGGCAGCCCAGAAAAACGCTCGGCGAGGATGAAGATGAGGATGTGGATGAGGTTGGCGATGCGGATGCGGATGGGGATGCGGAGGATCTTTCCCAGCGAGGCCATCGCCATCGCCATAGCACAGCGCCAGAGCATGGCGTGAAAATTGTGTTGACAAGAAAATTATAAACCGGAAAATGTTTTATGTTGTGGCTATGCGATTTTTCTCATTCTTGTTCGCTCCTCTCACTTTCACACTGCCCCTTTTCCTCGCTTCCCGAGTGGCTTTTAAAGTTTCAGCTGGCTCATTGTGGTCAAATTAAATTGGGGGGAAATTACCAATGAAATGATGCCAATTTGCTGAAAGGGTCAGAGGTCACTAAGCGAAAAGGAAACGTCTGGCTGCGCTAAAAGGCATTTGAGTAGAATTCGGGTAGAGAATTTTGATAGAGAGGGGCAAAAACTATGAACTATTAGAACTAGATCTGAAATATATATAACGAATAAACACTAATGCAAGTTGTAAGCCTGACATTGACCCCAATTCCACTTCTAATTCCGCTTTAACTATTTCTTTGTGGGGAAATGGCATTTAAAAGTCTACAACGCGGCAACCTGGCAATAAATTAGTGCCGCGGCCACCGAGAAAAAAGTTTAAACACACCCCAGGTACACGTGTATAACATCATAGGCATACAATCACGGGGACGTACTATACATGGGCCTTTCGTCCTCGAACTGGCGGCCATTACACATTGCATGCATATATATTATGTGCTGGTTACTTGCCACGTTTAAGTTCGTTAAACATTTAAGCCCAGCTCGTTTTGTGTGTCAAGCACACACACACGTATATAAGAATGTACATGAAAGCTCGGTGGGGACAAAAAGAGGTGAAAATGAGTGCAAACACACTCGCCTACAATTACAGCACTCAAAAGGGGCGAAGAACAACAGAGGGCTCGGAAAATGGAAAAATGCGAAGCGATGGAGGCTGGGGAAAAACGCTCGACGAACGAAATTGCTCGGCAACTTTACTGCATAGTTAATTAATAGGATAACACAATTAATTTGTGGGCAATGAATGTCTGAGCTTTATTTGCCCGCCCAGCCAGGCAAAAACTACAAGTGCCCAAGGGTCACTGGGTGTGTGTGTCCTTTCCATTTCCATTTCCATTGCCAACTTGCAGCTGCTGCCCCACAGATGATGTGGATTCTGCAGTCAGAACTCGCTTATCACGCAGCTGTGGTCTCGGATAATTGCCAAAAGGCTTATGAGATTTCCCTGGCACGCAGAGAAACCAACTGAGACATCAGCCTGACCCGGCTCCTAATGATCCATCAAAGATAATTGGAAATGTTTGGGGTTAGCTCAGATTAATGATGAAAGTCAGACGACGTCGGAGAACTGCCGGAATTATGAATATTTAATAGGCATTCAAATTTGACACGGTTCGAGATTAAATCATAAGTGGATGCTAACTATTTAATGGTCTTTGTATGAGGTAGCTGCTAAAATTCAAAGATTGAAGGTAATTTATTTATAGATTTTAAGAGATAATAAAGTCATAAAATGTACTAAACATATGGGTTAAAATAACTTAAACCGAAAACTGATTTTAAGTTAATTAGATCTATATAATTATTATTAGATTACCACTGGATCAGCAAGATAGTAATGCTAAGAGGGATAGAAGTCCACTGAATCATTCTGGGTTGGATTTTCTCAGAAAGAAAGACTATATCCCTAATACATTCATTGGGGAGCAGGCCCAAAAGGTAAGCATGGGAAATGGGACGACCATCCAGTGGCTCAATTAACAACGCCTCCTCACCTCCTGGGTAAAGAAAAAATAGAAAGCGTGGAGGGTCCACGCCAACGAGCTACTTACAAACATCAGTTTTAACTATTGTTTGCACACTCGACTCAAGAGCGACAGAATGAAATGGTGAAGGGAGGGGGAGGAGGAGGGAAAAACGGACGAACTATGCCCAACTTTAAGGACTGACTCAGCTCGCTTTGGGTTTTGTTGGAATAACAAAAGGCCGTTGGCCAAACAAGCTGCCAGCGACGCCTAAAAAGCGGCAACGAAAATTTTCAAAACGTAATTTTTTATGCTGTCACAAATTTGATGGTGATGGCGATGGTAGAGTCCTCCTGATGATGATGGCATTTTGTCAGCATTATATACTATGCATAAAATACTCCACTTTATGCTGCCATTCTTTGGCAGTTGTTTCTTTGTTGCGGGTAAAACAAAAAGCTTAATAAAGAAAACACCAAACAGGCAACTTAATTTTTTGCCTGCCTCTTGTTCGGCATTGTCCTGTGAAAAAAGAGCTGCTTTCACCCCTTTGTTCGCCCCTCCTGCTAATTTGCCGCATTGCCTTTTTCGAGCAGTGAAAAATTCAGGGAAAATAGAAACCTCTTTGCCTTTGATTTTGTCTGCCCTTCGGCAGGTTGCTCTCGTGTCAGTTTACAAAATGCGAGTTATTAACGCAGAGATCAATGGAATCGGTTCGACGAGGGGAGGGAGGGGGGGTTCTTAAAGCTAAATTCTTAACTTAATAATTGAGTTATTTGAGCTTTACCTTGAAGTTGTCCATGTCTAAGAGTTGCGTGGCCTAAAATTCACTCGAGTGGTGACAAACGGTTTTAGTTATTCAGTTGATTTTTAGAGAACGTTTTATTCGATTTATGCTTCACACAGAGAAAAAGTCATTTCGATTTTTCTATATTTAATTTTAACCAATTGATAATTGATATTTTCTCTGTGTTGTTCAGTTTTTTGTAGGTTTTCAATGGGTGGTGGAACTCTCTTATTTGTAAGCCAAAAGCTAAAGCCTTCTACTCGGGACCCAAGACTCAAGCCTCAAGCACACTCACGCACACAATTCTCAAGCTCAGCTCGGCGATTCAGCTGCGTTTTAATCTATATATTTATTTGGTAGGCACTTAGAGACAGCCACTAAATATAGTGTGTATTTAAGATATATATAGAAGCACAGAGATACCAAAAACGAAAATGGAGTTTATAAAAGCACAAAAGCACAAACAACAAAAGCGAGACAAGATCAGTTTTCGTTGAGGCCCTAAAATTGGGGATTCGGTATTGGCTTATCATATTTTGTTTTTTTTTGGTTTTTTTTTGTGGGATGAGAAATCATAAATCTTAAAGCTTACATTCTACGAGTCACACGAAGCAATAGAGGGGGGGAGATTGGGGAGTCTAGTTCGTTTGCTGGGGGGAGGGGAATACTGACCTTGATGCTGTCGTAGCAGGCGGTGACCTTGCCGTTCTGGACCTCCACGTTGGCCGGGGGATGGGCGAACTTGCACTCGGTGTCCTGGCGCGAACATTTGTTGCGCTGGAACTCGCGGCAGACCTCCAGTTGCAGCCAGCGCGAGTCCTTGCCGTTGAACAGGCTGTTCATATTCACAACGTTGGCCATCGTGTATCAGTATCGGTATCAGTATCGGTATCGGGGTTATAGATATATAACTATTTGCTGTTTACGGATCTGGGTTAGCTGGAGTTTATATAGTTTTAGCCTAGCGACTAGAGAAAGTTTTTTGTTTTTTCTTTACTTTTTTTTTTTTGATTTTTGTAGTGCTCCTCTCGCGACACGCACACACAAAAAAACACTAAATTCAACAGCACAGATCAGCACCTATATATGTATATAGCATAGATCTATGGTAGATGGTATGATTTCAGCTGGTTTCTGGTTTTTATCGATTTTTTCGTTAGCGTTTTTTGTGGAGTACAAAGCTTGTGGGGGTAGCTGATAGCTTGGGCTATAATTTTGATTAAAATCGAACGCTTATTTAAATATATAGATGTGTGTGTGTGTTTATATCTATAGATAGACGCAGCTGTTAATTTTCTGTATTTATTATTTTACTGCTTTTTGTGTGTAAGCTGATTTTACATTATCTGAAATGAGAGTAAAAGAGAGAAATAGAACTTTAGGATCATACCGACTTGGTTTACATTCCAAGATAGATAAATAGAAATGGCGAAAGACAGAGACAGATAGTCGTAGATAGAGAGAGATATAGAAAGACAGAGCGATTCTAAGTATAAATGTGTGATGTGGAAACTGATCAGGTTTTATATTTTTTAGATTTCGGGGGTTAGTAATGCGCAATTCGTTTGTGTTATGGTTTTATGCAGAATGCAATGCTCAAATGATAAGACAAACAAAAGACAATCGACATAAGACATAACCATATCACTATGGAGCATTTAATATAGTTGCGATAGATTCCTAGACTAAATGAGCGAATGGTGTGCAAAATAAAAGTTCCGTTTCATACAACTTATGATATAGTCACTAAAAATAGTTCACCAGATATACACAAATAAATATCTGATTTTATATATTTATATGGTTTATATAGAGCGTGAGCAGCGGTTGGCGTCCAGTTTGCAGCTTTCTGGAGGGATCGCGGGGTTTCCAACAGCCAAAACAGCCAAAACAGCCAAGAGCCACAGCTAAATGCCACAGCCAATTAGCCAACTTAAGCCTAGCCCCTAAGGCAATTCAGCGCAATGCACATAGACCAAATAAAAATAAACACTACGAATAAATATTATCAACTAGAGTGCACTAATGGTCGCAGATATATATATATATATATATTCATGGATCTCCAGGTCTGGCCCAGCGGTGTTTAGCAATTAAAATGTATATATTTTTGGATCGTTTAGCTAAGCAACATTTAAGAGAGAGACACCGCCTGAGAGAGTCGTGTTTCCAACGCTTGTGTATTCACTTTTTAGCCAATTTCTTTTTATAGCTATGAAATAAATTGTTAAACGCACTTACCGCTCAATGGAAATATTTTATTTTAGGTTTATTTCGATTAATAAAATACTGCAAAAAATTGTATATATAGTGTGGAATTAGGAAACTTGTATTTAAGATAGAGGAGTGAAAATAAATTGCGTAAATCTGTAAGTGATTCAATCATCGATGACGGCACACAATTTGATGTTTATATTTTGTTGTTATTAGCATTTGAGTTTTGTGTTTGTTTGCCTTCCCCCTTGCATTGTATTTTGTTTGATTTGTTTTTATCTTATTTGCCTGCCTGTTGCAATTGTTGTTGTAATCGTGTTTGCTTTGCTGTGTGTGTCTCTAATCTTATCTTATCGAAGGAAGCGGCTATTAATCAAAGTTTTTTCGGAAAGGAAATCTATTAAAGCTCTTAACGCTTCTTGTTTTTATTGAATTTTAAGTGAGCTGCGGCGTAGAAAGTATGCATTGGCAGTAATTCGAATTGGCAGTAATTCGAATTCTTTGACGATTCTGTAAGAAATTCTATAAAATTTTGTTACTGCAAGCAAGTCGAAATCTGTTTTGAAAACACACATATTGTTTCCCAATAAAATAATCTAAATTTTTTCCATTTCAATTAGCATTTTTTTAGGCCAAAACTTTCCTATCTAGCATTTGGCATTTCGAAAGATATCGCACCGACACACCGACAGTAAATTATCTCAGCCAAGTCAATTTGAAAAGATACCAGCGAAGACAATTAATAAACTTTATAGAGTACATATACAGCTATACGTTTTTGTTAGTATACGGATTTGTGGATACGTCCGCATGATGTCAGCTGCAAATTGCTTTTCCGTATTTCAACTTGATTTCCAAAGATATAAATTGTGACTTAATTTATGAGCTGAGAAATTGAAGCCCCATCAACTGCGTCCGTGTGTGTGGGCTAATGTTTATGGCGTGTATTAAAATAATTCTTGAAAACTTTTCGGCTAAAACAAAAAAAATCTCTATACCACGGGAAAAAGAACACGCAAGAGAAACAGACGGGACGCCCACATCAGCGGACGTGGCTGGGCATCAGGCTATGTGGAATATATAGAAGACATTACGGCCAACAGATACAGATACAGACACAGATACAGATACAAATTCAGAAATCGAAACAGCGCCAGAAATTAGCAGCCGTGTCATTGACGCAGTACGAAAATTTATGGCCAGAAGCGGGTGTGGAAAATGCTGCACGAAAATAAACTTCCCAATAGTGTTTAGATGTGAAATTGGGCCAAGAATAATCGAAGGTTCTCCTGCCTGGGCGGATATATACCTACGTATATGTGTAGTGCGCAGATCGGTGCATCCGCCGACCTACAAACAACCTTCAGACGCTGCTCTCAGATCTAAGGACACTCGCATCTCGGCGGTTTTCGGTTATTAAAAAATCATTAAGAGAAAAAAACATATAAAGCTGGCGGACAAAAAAAACGATGCAAATTGATGTAGACCCAGACCCCAAAGACAAACAAGTTCAACAAGTTTTTGGCCGTAGGTTTTGTTTTCTTTTTTTTTCTGGTTTTTCGGTCTCGTATCAAAAAGTGTGTTTTGAAGGTTAAACTTGCCGAAAAAAGAAGAAACACTCTCAGAATCGGAGAAACCAGCAAGATTGAAAAACTGTTAATTTTCGAAGCTGTTTAACGCAGGTTCACTAAACATTTCCTCACATTCGCATTTCATACAAGACTTCGACTATATTGTACTATATATGTTTATGTAAGCTGAGTCAACACAATGGCAGCTGTGCTGGCGGCAGAATTTTGGGGCAATCCTAATTTCTTCTGGAATTGTGGGCTTCATTTCTTTGTGGGTCATCTGTTTTTTTTCTATTTTACACTGGTAAAAGCTTCTCGCAGAGCATTTAGCATTTTGTAAAGTCCCTGGGGAGCTTTAAAATATAAAATATTTTATCTACAAAATTTTTGGGAAAAATTCGTTTAAAAGGGTTGGAGTTTGAAACAAAATGTAGATTCTGATTCACTTGTTTTATCATCAATTTAAACCCATAAGAAAATTGATTAGTTTTCCGGTGATAAGGAAAAATAATTCAAATTCATGCTCAAATCAAATTCCTTAGAAAATTTATAATTGAGCTTTTTTATAAATATTTATTACATTAAATGTTGGAAACTCTAATAGGAGTTATTTATTTGATAGTTCAATTGATTAGATTGATTATCACTCTTTAATCTGCTCATTAACAATAGTTTAAATATCAGCTGTTTACTTGACCATAATTTATGGGCATTTTCACTGGTTTATTTAGCATAGGTTAGTCGCAGTTCGTCTGTCGCCAATCGATTACCTATTCTACTGATTCATGCCACCCCAATCAGCTTTCCGTTCCTCAAAACTTATCCATCCACCCAATTCCCAACACACATGCCCCACATATTACGTAGTGCCCATATATACAGACCAAATCGAGAGCGTTCTGCTGATAAGGCGGCAAACAAAACAACAAATAGAACGCTGCAGTTCACAGTTGGCTGTGAAAGCGCACTGTATATTTTGTATTCGCCATATACTTTTTATACTCTTTTTTTAGATATGCGACTCATATTGTATACTAAAATGTACAAACTCGAGCGGGCGCTGAGTTACAAAGTTATGACTAAAGCCATACACGAGGCGCTCAGAGGGCCAAAAACAAAGGCAAAAGGCAGACATTGCTGCTCACCCCGCGGGCGACAAGTTAATGCATTTAAAGAAACATTTACGCAAGCGAAGCCGTAGCAAAACATCGGTCAGTAACCGCTCTGCAACATTATACAACGCTCCTCCTCCAAACGCCGCAGAAAACCGAGGGCCCACCCTAAAGGTATGACACATATATTTAACGATGCGCTCATAAAAAAAGTGAAAGAAATGGGTGGAAAGCCGGGGGTTTGCGAGGAAACCAGGTTCGACGGCTGCTATCAATAAAAGGAGATTAGATAAAGAAAAGGGGTGAACCCTGTGCACTCATACTAAAATACACGTTATTTGCAAAAACAAAGGTGGAAAATGATAGTAAGAGCAAAGCTCTTTTTATATTTGTCAAATAACCTAGTCACAAAGACAACAACTGATTATGGGACTTATATTTCTACAATTCATATGTAAATGCCACAGAATGTTATTTAGCAAATTGCAGCTGCGGATGGAACCAGGAAACTTTCCCAGCCACAAAACGAGCCATAGCAAAACACATCAAAAGATGGTAAGACTTAAATGTCAGCCATAAATGGCAAGCGGTTAAATGATCAGTTCGCTTTGGCTTATGTCATTCATTCAGGTGGGTCGACGGCTCTATTTTATTCTTCCAGCCAAAACTGCTCCGAAAATGGAGTTTTGACTTGCCTAATTAATTCCCATTGTCATCCATCTGACTTGGCTAATTAATTTGGCAGTACATGATGCGTGGGCAGCAAATGTTTATTATTTCTTTGCTCTTGAAAGTTTCATAGACTTTCTGAGACACTTCGTTGACTGACTTCATTGACAGCTATTAGCGGTTATGTGAAATCTCTTTCGAAAGTTGGTGCCCAGATAAAAGAGATACATTTATATACAATAAATATTGCATTTTTTTCGGGGTGCTGTCCCTTATTTGGTGAGGGTTTATAATTTGGCAGAGCTTTCGAATAGGTGCTGAAAAGATCAGCGGATCGATCTATATATGGTCTTATGGATATGACTAATGGGAAAGCGGAAGAAAACAAAGCGTGCCGAAAGCGTAAGTAAATGGATTCGATAGGGCAGAGCGATCAGATTTCACAAGGGGAATCGTGGTGTTTTAGAGAATTTAAGTCTATACTGAACGTATGAGTTTTCTTTGGGTAAACTCAGCACAGATGACAGGGAAAATTTACTTTGGCAATATTTTTGCTTGTTTATTTTTCCATCATAAAAAAAACTGCTGTCAGACGTAGGAAATCTGCCAGTGATATCATAAAACTTTCGTTTTCATTGAAAACCTTGCCCTAGTCTCAAGATCTCTTAGATTCCACCTGATCTCGTCTGTTTTAAAACCAAATTCAAAGCTCATTGTCACGTTTCTCTATCAACCGAATTCATATTTAAATTTTCGTTCACACAAGCAAATCAATTTCTTAGGCGTAAAACGCGATCATCAGTAATTACGTCAGAGGTCGGAAAGCTATATCATATATGTATATATATATAGCTTTAGACACACAAAAACGAAGCGAAAGAAGAGGCCGAAAAATAAAAGCGAATGGGGGAAATCAAAAACAAAATTCATAAATGAGAGCGACGGAATCGTGGCGCTCTATCGCCGCTCATATACTATTTTTTGGCATTTTCATAACATTTAGCTTATCTTAAAAATACGAGAGTGCCGCACAAATACCAGTGTGATTTCCGTCGATGAATAAGAGGAAGAAAAGTCCGAGCACAACAAATTTTCATAGGTGCCCAATTAATTTTGCTGGCATAAACTTATTTATGTTTATAATTCTCTTGGTGTTGATGAATAACCCCAAAATAGCCGCCCCAAAGAGAGAGAATAATATTTATAAAATTAAAAATTCCTCAAATATTCCGAAATGAGAATCGAGTTAATCTTTGAACTAATTTGTGTACTCATAATCACATTGCAGAAACGCCTCGACATTCAGTCGCACAGTAACTCTCGCATGCGAAAGGTTAAGCAATCAATTCTGCCTCCAATTGATCTCAATTGTGCGTTGGCCCAAGGGCCAGTCAAGGGTTAAAGATGCCGACGTTATATTTCAGCATTATGCAAAAGCGTAAAAACTTAGTTATTCTCGCTCTCTCTATCTCTCTCTATTGGCCACAAAAAGGAATTTATTTTTGGACTGCGACTGCAGCAGCGCCGCTCCAAAAATGCTGCCAAAAAAGGGGGAGTGGATTTTTCGGGGGGCCTGTGGATGCACAGCTGCAGATACATCCAAAAGATACATCCAAAATGTGCGGCAGCTGTCGCTTGTTTTGGAATATGCCTGAGATACTCGGAGGTACAACAACAACAACAACAACAACCGACGAAACACGTTCAAAATTTCTTTTTCGACGCTTCGTGTGGTTGTTGTGTTTTGGCATGTGCCAAGAGAATTATGTTAGGGTGTGCCGACTGTATAATTGAGGAAGCTGCATAAAATGGCCAATTGGGTGTGAACAAAATAATGGTCAATTTGTTTCTGATGCTAAAACTATCCGAGAATCCAAAAAGTGTGAGAAAAGCTATGCCAACAGATCATAATAACAAGTAGATAAATTAAAAGTCCCAAAAGCTCACTAGATTTCCTTTTTTCGACTGGATTTATAAAGGGTTAAACTTCCCTTTAAAACTTCCTCCTTAGTTTAACAGTTAATAATAATAATAAAGCAATGCACTTTTACAATTTTAGATAGAAAAGATACAAAAAATACCTAAATCTCTATATTGAAAGACCTACTTTTAACTTAACCGGAGTATTAAATTCTAATAAATTCTATTCCAATTAAAACAGTCTTAAGATTTTTCCAGCTCCAGCTAGACCGAGTCACCCTATTCATACGATTCTCCCAACCACATATAGATATTTGTTTTGTGTTTTCTTCTTTCTTTTCGACTTGTTTGCTGCCTCAGTCGACGTCGCAGCTGCTCTGCGCTTATTGAAAAAGCCAAAAACAAAAACGCTGGCGAAGAAAAAGTTTTTGATATTTTTAGAAGAAAAAAAGACATGAGCACATGTTTCAAAATATCAAAAAAGATGAAAACTAGAAAAACGAGAGGAAACAGCTAAGCCAAACTGAGATCTGAAAATCTTCGAAAAGGAAACGAAATGTTTATATGAATGCAAAAAACCTGGAGAGATATAAAACAGAATCCGGAGGAAAGTAATATTTAGGATATGGAAATTTCAATAGATTTTTCAACATTTATAGAACATAAATAGTTAGCTTTATGTGCCCAATTTTAAGTACAATTTTTTAATAACCTCTGGAAAATCTGATCAAAAATTTTTTGTTTTATGGAAAGATCTAAATGTTAAAAACAGAAACCAGCTGAACAAGTTAATTCCAATCGGTTTCCTAGCATTAACAGAAATTTGTTTCTCTATCAACAGCTCCCATTGTATTGTTTTTTGCTCGTTTCTTAACTTTTAACTCTCTTCATACCTCTCGTTTGAACTCTGACACCTTTTTGAGTGCTGTCATCTCGCATCAAAACTTAAATCGCGAGCCGAACAAACAACTACAGCAATTTTTCCACACTTTCGACATCCGAAAGAGGGTGTTCCTATCGATATTTACGACCTATTGAGAAGAGCTTAAAGCACAAAACACTCGTACTACAAGTCAAACACACATATTTCTCCCAGCGACGTTTTTTATTCGACTTTGTGTACTGCGGCATGACTTTTGGCGAAAAATCGAATCGATTAGTCATGCCAAAAGTCCTCAAGTTTTCATCCCAAGCCCCTTCACCAACAAATAAAAAACCGTCTTCTGCCTTTCGTGGCATTTTTAGTTTTGGTTCGAGCTTGATGTTTTGAGTGGAGGAGAAAAAGTGAATGACTTGTCAGACTGTATTGAACAAATGGACAGAAATAACAATTCATTTTGGCATTTTCCAAACGATTTCTTTGACTCATATTTTGAGCAGCAACTCATTTTTGACACTTTTGTCGATGATGATGGCCAAATAAATAAAAAACGCGAATTGTGCCGAACTTTTGCTTTTTGTTTTCTAGTTGCCAGAGGGCAGAGCTAATTCAATTTGCATATCTCAACTGGAGGAAAACGAAACAAATCGGAAAAATTATAATAACAATCTTTTTGCAACCGAAGCCGAAGCTCGGACTGAAATAAACATAAATTTAATGGTTACGACTTGGCAAGAGGAAGGGGCGTTGGGTTTGGGTGGAGAACCACATAAAAAACGTGACTTTTCGTGAAAATAAAATCTATGTATTTGCATGTGCGAGTACAGTGCGTTCCAAGGCTCGTATTTCAGTCCAAAATGTTTATAAGACCCTTAAATATAATCGATTTCAAACAATTACTTCGGGGACAGAATAAATCCGGTAATTGGTTCAGTTTCGTTTAACGAAATAATCACTTTAAATTTAAGAATCACGTCTGTTTTCTGTCTGGGTGTCTCAACCCATTAAATAACCTAAACTTGCAAGACAATTTTGTTAAGCCATTAAATCTTTTATTGACAGTTCGCAATCGTTTTGTTTTATTGTCACGTGTGTTTCTTACAGCTGAATAACAGTGTTGAGACGCACTGTCTAAAATCGCTTGGCTTAGATCTGTTTATTTTTTAATGGTCCAGGCCTTGCCCGGCTCTAGAATAAAAATTGCTACATTTGCATTGTATTAGAGCACTATTTCTCGTAGAGCTTACTATATTTTTAACTTACTTAACTCCACACACACAAAATAAAAACATGTTAAGTCTTTTAGGCTCTGACACAAATAATGTGAATATATATTTATAGTATTTTGTACCAAATAAAGCGCAATTCGCGTATTGACTCTGACAAATTTGGTTTGCAATTTGTTGAATTTTAATTATTATTTTACAGTTCATTAGCCTCAATTTCAATTTGATTTTCGGTCATTAAGCTTTTTAGGTGGCCAAATGGACGATGTGTACTTTATTAGAACGGATTAAATAAGTTGTATAATTGAAAATTTTTGGATTTTTAATGAATTCAACAAATTAATGAACACAGATACATAATTATTGAAGAAAACTTTAAAAGTCTCTTAGACATGTTTATTGTACGATTTTTTATAAAAACCTTTTGAACGTGTAAAAAAATTATGTTCTTAAATTATTTATTGAATCTCAGGCTTTTATATTTTTTTTGCCATTCATTCTTAATTGATTTTGTATACCTTTCTTCTCACTTTCTCATTTTATATGGTTTATTTCAGTCTAGAGCTGGTAAACTATCTGATATCATATCGATGTTTTTCCACCTCTATTTATAACACTAAAAATTATAGACTTGTGTCTTTATGGTATTTTTGAAGCAAGAAGCTAAGACTTTTACAACACAAAATGCCATACTTGAATAGGAGTTATTGTGAATGGGTATAGTTTTGACTAAACTAAATTGCTAAGAAATCTGGTTTAAATATTTTAAGTTAGGCGATTGGAATGTGTTTACTTGGGAGAACTGGTTGCTCTTTCTTCATGAAATTTTCCCAGAGCCTCGTTTGAATAACTTTCCCTATAATAGTTAGTTTTCCATAAAAAAGAATTTCCGCATTTCACTTAGCACCCGAAATTTCGACAACAAAACAAACAAGACCACAAAATGTGGCAGAAGAGAAAGAGGAAGAGCCGAGAAAAAAAAAACTTTAACTCAAGACGAAAGCGAAAAAGAGAGAAAACAAAATAACCAAAACAGAGCGAGATGTACGAAAAAAAAAACAACGATTTTTTGTTTTTTAAGTATAAACACCTTCGGTAGTCCAGCTGACTTGTTGTTGTTGTAGTTGCTCTTGTAGTTGTTGCTGGCAAAGTTGAAGTTGTTGAAATTGTTGTTGGGCTGCTGGTTTTTCTTGTATTTGTTTATTGTTTTACTTTTACGCCGATGGAAAATGTATTTTTAACCTTTTTTTTTCTTTGTCGCTGCGCTGGTGTGTGTGTAACTAAACACGCGCGATGTTGCAGTTGCTGTTTGCGGCACGACGTGACGTCATTAAGATGCCGGCAAAAAACAATGGATTTTGCGATTTTTCCGGACAATTTCCCTGCGGCGCTTGCACTTTTTTTTTAATTTTCTTGCACGACTTTCGACAACTTCTTTTCTTTTCTCTCCTTTTTTTATCTGTCACAAACAGACACACACACTGGCACTTGACAACACACACACACTCACGTGCACTCGCGATGTTGTTGTTGTTTTTTTGACAAATATTTCCACGCTTCTAGAGTTGTTGCCAAATTTGCAGAAAAATTATTTATGCCTTCTTGGGGTTTGCGGTGACTGGGCAGAAATTGCTGTGTTTGTTTTTTAGCTGAGAGCTGCTTTTTATTAAGGGGCTTGCTTTTCTTCAGTTTTTCAGGCAGCCTCTGCAACTCTACTTTTCACTTTTCCGCTAGCAGAACCGCTTCCGTCGAAAAAATTTTATGAACTGAAAGCAGCAATATGTCTGGCACTTCCAATACGACAGCATTTTGCTTGCGCTCTCTCTCGTTCTCTCTTGCTCTCTCCTTCTTGTTCATGCTCTCTGGCAGTTAAGAGAGACCGTCTTAAAAGAGCGTTTTTATCGTTAAGAGAATTCAAATTCGTGTAATTTCGAGGGGTTTCCCCTTTTTGGGGAGGGGGGTGGTGGTGTGGTGGTGCTAGATGGGCGATGGGGGTAGGTGGATGGGGTAGGGGGTTACCGAGTTCAATAAAGGCGAGTTGAGTTGACAATCAACTAAAAGGTTAACTGGCCAAAAGTAGACAGACTTCAGCTTTTGGCGTAGGTTGCGGACTAAAAGTCGGCCTGGCAACTTAATTTTAGTTTATTTCGCATTTCGGTGACTAAGTTTGTTAAAACAACAAATGAATTTGTGAAAAGAATTGATTAAAGTAGTTATTCCGATTTGTATTGGTCTTAATTTAACCATTTATTGCTAAATAATCTATTAAGAAAACTTTTGTTATGATAATAATCCTTTATGTAAACTGCATCAATTTGACTTTTTTATATCTTATTTTTTTGTATATGAATAAATTTGCTCACTTTTTTGATTAAAAAATTTAATATTTGGGCTTTCTCAAAAGGTTTTGTTGACATGCTGTAATTATACTCCATATATCCCCAAAAATACCAAACTGGTTTAATTTGCTGTTATAAACGTGATACTAAAGCTCCCTAATACAAATAATATCTTAATATGTACGTGAAAGTGCGTAATTATTGCATCAATTTGTATATTTTAATTGACTCCATTTGTGATTTTTTAAATTTTATTGCTAACAGTTTGAAAGTGGTTGTGATTAATACTATTTGACCAAATTTGTACAAATAATTTAATTTTAATAATCTGTGATAAAATATTCATTCAAAAGTTAAAATTTGTTTAATCTAATATTTTCTTTAATACTTAGATTAGTTTAAGATTTATGTTATTATCTATAAATATGCAAGTACTGTTCTAGTACTTCAGTCTTTATGGTTAATCCATTAAATTAACCAAAGCAACTTTGTATTTTTATCACACCCTATTAAATATTTTAAAAAATTAATTTCGTATACCATCGTAAAAATGCTGCAGTTTCCATTTGGGCCTAAGGACAGAAATAAGTGAACTTAGTGAATTGGAACTTTGCTCGCTTGGGCAAAGTCACCTTCAAAATGCGTTCGATATGTTCTAAATCATTTACGTAAATGCATCCCATCCATAACGGTGAAGCTATATATCCGAGTGCAGCCCATCGGGCCAGAAATAGAAAATTGTGGCGCACACACTGGCAGAACTCTTGACATTTCTATGTCATAAATTTGTTTCGTTCTTTGGATTTTTTGGCAGCGAAAGATATGGTTAACACCCCCCACTTGGCAATTAAAATCGGGGAATTGAGGCGGGGAAACCTCGAGCAGACTATGTAGTACTGTGTAGGTTAAGCGGCAATAAAAAGTGAATGTAAGCGATTGCAAGAACGGGAAATGCAGCCGAAGGAGAACCGGCATGTGAAAGCCATATAAAAAGGTGGGAGGGCGCGGAAAGGGGAAAGGGGCAGGGGGAAAGGGGCACGGGGAAAGAGAGAGCGACCCGACCAGATCGAGAAACGCCCCCGCAATGATTCTAGCTCCTCTACATCTACATAGTGAATTATTATTAGAAGTACATCAGTGTTTGTGTGAGCGCACTATTTTTAAACGATTTCAAATTGGAGTTTTTTCGAGAGTGACCCGCTGGAGAAACAAAAAGATCGGTAATGGAGCCTCGGGGCAAGTGAAAGGTATTCGGTCTGCAAATTGTGCATAATGAATTACAGCGTTACAATGGCCAACTGGGGGAGTGGCGAACATGGATAAAACAAATAATGAGATATGTTTACTAATAACAGAGATAGACAAGATTTGGGGCCAAACAAATTGGAATGTGCCACATAATGAGCGAAATATGTAATTTCGTGAAATAAGATGCCAATAATGATTGGGACATTAGTGTTAAACAAACTTTATTGTAAACTATCACACTTTTAAGTGTTATTTGAACATTAAACAGAAAATCCAATTTACTGAACTGTATAATTAAAGGAAACTATCTTATTTGAAAGATTATTTTACTGAAAAACATAGCTTACAGAAAAGGAATCTTTAAAACAATAGTTTACCTAAAGAAAGAATTAAATATAAGTTAATTTATTAATAACAATTCATATTAACGGAGAATGTTACAACTTTAATTATTGCTAATCTTTGAAACTTGAGGGTTGTAAGATTTATAAAACTCCAGGACACATATATCTGGATTTATTTGATAAATATTCTTTAACTACGTTAATGGTCCGTCAATAAGAAATGTTTACTATTCCATTACCATGGTTCTGCGTATTTATAGAAGAAGCTATCGGCAAATGACATCTCTTTCTCGGTACCCAAAACGCCCACCGCAGCATCTTGAAAACATCATTAGCAACACATTTATCGCGCTGCTCTCTCCGCTGCAGCGGCCTCTGAAATGTGGGCATCGGATTCGGATACAGATACAACTACGAATACGAATTCAGATTCAGATTCAAGCACAACCGAAAGATACTATACTATACTACACTCTGGTACTGGTGGAGCGAAACCGGTTCCGGGCAAAATCAAAAGTTGCGCAGACGTCGCCGACTCAGCTGCTCTGCTGACCAAGCCGAAGTTTTGGGATTCGGGGATCGGGGAGCGGGAAGCGGGACTGGAAGCTGCGCGGGCAGGGCGGACTTGGAGTGCTAAAGTACACAAAAGCAAAGTTTTCGAGATCGCTGCACGGAGAGAAAACTCAAAGGGCGTCTATGAAAGAAAAGAAATCAGGGATTGGGATATTATTACTTGTAATTAATCAAATAAGTACACAGTTCAAATCCAGAAAGTATAGGGTACTGTCATCTATTTTCTATCCCTAATGGCTGACTTTAAATATCCCTTAGAACCAGATTATATGTCAATTAAATCTAAAATAAATTACAAGTTACTTGGTCAACAGTTAAATTTAATCCTATATATTTATAAATTTATAATCGTTTGTTTTGACAAAATTAATTCTTTAATTTTAGATCAAAACCTCAGTTTTAAATACTGTCAAATCCAAGAAACCTATAAAATATTGTCATTATATATTAAAAATAGTCTTTAATTACAAAATTTAACAAACTGAGTACAAAATGTTGTCTTTTTGAGATTTTTGAAGAATGTTATTTAACAAAAACACAAAAAAAACATTAATATTCCAAGATATTCGAAAATGTGCCTAAGTAGATACAACCGAAGAACTTCGCCACCTTGCATTACTTTTCAGTAATTTTTTTCCCGCAGTGTGGATGCTGTGGGTCCACTTGGAACGAGCTGCCTGTTTCTCCAAGTGCTGCGCTCAGTGTGTGAAGTAGTGTAGGTAAATCAGTTTGGGGAGCCGGCGTCGAAACGGGTTTGCTTCTCGTTTGTGCTACACCTTTTGCGCCTGTTCCTTGTTCCGATCCGATCCGTTTCGAACCGATCCCCATTCGAGAACGTGTTTCAAGGCTTTTCGACCGGGGTGTGTAACCAGTAGCAGAAGTGGAAAGCCGAAAACCGAAAAGCGAGGAAGGGAGCGGGAGTGGGAAAAGGAGGTCGGTCGCCAAATGAAAAGATCGCGGCCAGACAAAAGAAACTGGCATAAGGGATTTGGATAGGGATTGGCCCGATAGCGGGTCTGGAGAAAGAGACGGCGGAAGGAAGAGAAAGAGCGCGAGCGTGTGGAATAGGTCCCACCCCAATCTAATTGGAAATAACGGCAGGAGCAAGACGATCGCTTCTGCGCACGCGATCGCACGCGAGAGACCGGCTAATGCATATAAATTGGCATAAATCAAGCAAAAGTCACGTCGATCCGTGTCCGAAACCCAAAAGCCAAAAGCTAAAAGCCAAACCAGTTTCGAAAATAGAGTAATACAGAGAATAAATTCCAGATCAGATCATCGCAGTGACGTAGTCGCCGACTTCTTGTTTCTCCGATTATTGCAGCCTGAGTCAGCCTCTCACTTCGCCCCACACTCGCACGCGTCTCTTAAGAAACTCCCGAAGAGCGGGATCGAGCTGCGTGGGTGCCGCCGTGAGTGACTCACTCGGAATTCCCCTTTTCCCCGTTCGGGGAACACTCAATACCACCTACCGAGTTTATTTCTATCCATTGACATCGGGGGTTGCTCTTGAGTGACACCGCGCGTTCGAGTCTGAGTGGATTTATCTGAAAACATTGTATTGCGGCTGAGCGCCAGATTGTCTCGAACAAAGTGTTCCCACTTTTTTCGGGGGTGGTTGCAATGGAATTTTGAGTGCTGTTTGCAGCTATTAACAGCTCATTACGTTTTGAAATACCACATTTACAATACTTTCTGGTTAAATTTAATTTATGTGTTTAGAAACACATATTCAGGATAAAAATCCAAACTTTTTCAAGAATATTAAAATGATCTGTGAAAAGTCCTGCATTTCGTTAATATATATTTATAATATGGTTTTAAGCTCAGAAAAGAAACAAATAAATTTAATAAATAATACTTTAAGGATTTCTTAACATTTTTACTCGATATTATTATTAAAATCAATGTAAGAACATTGGCAATATATTACCCAAAATTGGACTTCTATAGTCCATAACTTTTCCAAATTTAATCCGATTTGGAAGTGACATACCTCTTATAACTCGTTTATTGATTATCTAAAAATCTGCATTCAAAATTTTCATTTTATCGTTACTCGAATTTTTGACCCATTTTCATGTAAGATATTTCCAAGTTTCCGATGACTTGTAAAATGGTGACACCATATTAGACTTCTATACTCCATAACTTTTGCAAATTTAATTTATTTAGTGGAAATACACATTTAAATATAAAAAAAAAATTTTATTTGTTTTTGCTTTGATATACTCTCATTACTTCATTGTTCGATTACATTTTATCGGTACAATTTGACTATTATTCTTTAGAACTTTAATTTGGTTGAACCTTCACTATTTTGCTGCTGTCTTTAATTTCCCTGCTTTATATTTTTCATTCAACTTCGTTCCAATCGCTGCTTGCATTCGAATTCAAATTAAGCAAATTACCGAAAATTTCGTTTGTTTGCCCCCCCTCCCCATTTTCCCTCTCCCCCTGCCACAGCCGTGCTCTTCTTCTTCGCTTAATTACTTACAACTAACTGCAGGGTGAAAAGTTTGCACAGCCCTCCCCCTTTTCACCCGTTTTCACCCCTCCTCACCCGTTTTCACCCGTCTTTGCTACTTGCATTGCAATTGAAACCAAAGTTACAATCGCATATCAAGCCCTAAGACAAAAGGCAAACATGCTTGGGTGGATTTCCCGAAAAGGGGGCGGTGGGGGGGCCTTAGGGGGCGTGGCAGCCAGACTGCATAGTCGAAGAAATTACGCTGATTGAACACTAATTTATTTGTTTGTTTGTTTTAACATTTTCGCCGCATGCCGCATTAAAGGGAAGAGGGAAAATCGCGAGTGGAAAAGTGGATAAAAAGTTTTCCCTTCGCAAGGTGCAAAATGCTTGCATGTGTGAGTGCGAATGGGATGGGGGTGAAAAATGGGTGGCTTGTGGGTGTAATTTTCTGGGGTGGCCTTAGCTTCTTGTGTCTGCCGATGTTAGCATCTTTTGGCTTTTTGTTGCAATTTGTAAGTGAGGTTCTTTGTCTGCCACTGCCGCTTTTTCGCTTAATTGGCTGTAATTGAAATCGGTTGAGAAGAAGGCACTATGGGGTTAAAGGGGCTTGGGGGGTGGCAAAGAAAATACAATGAGAACTTGTTTCACCAGGTTTAATACTAAAAATCGATTTCTAATTTATAAGGAGCTCCTAACTTTTTAAGACCTGTAAACTTTGGGCAAAATACAAAAGTGTTTTCACTTGGTTTTAAACACATATCTAGGAATAGATCTGAAAATTCCTGTATATAATGTATACATAATGGTTAATGCAGGTACTTAAGACATAATTTAAAATTACAATGTGTGGCTATGCAAATTAAATAAAATATAAAAGCTAATATAATTTAGTTTTATAATACAAAATGTTGACCGTGACCAACTATATTTTGCAATTTCCCGAAATGAAAACAAACCATTGTGAGTACATTGTATTTTAATCAGATTAACTTTTAAGTGCTTAGCTTTTAATCTAAAAGACTTAAATACTTTCAATATTTAACTAATAAACATTAAATACTTTAAGCTGAACAAACAGTTAAAAATGAATTTTAAAGTCCAATCATTTTTATGCCACATACATATATACAAATTAAAGTGAACTATTCGAGTTTCCTTGCTTCATCATCATAAGACCACATACTGTTTTCAAGTCTGGCTCAATTTTCCTGCCCACCCACACCGCTGTATTTAGAGACATTCTTTTTGTTTGCGGTCGAGCCTTGTTTGGCCCGAAAATTCTGATATATTCACGTTTTGGCTTTTTGGCCACGGTTTTGACCGTGTGTGTTCTGTGTGCTGGCTTTTTGTTTTCTTTCTAGTTTCATTTTTCCCTGCTGCCAGTCTGATGTGGCGACCTTTTAGCGAACGTTTTCGCCATTTGCAGTTTTTCGCCTCTGGCAGCGAGAATGTCGCTTTTCCCCTTTCCCGACTGTTTTTCCTATTTCCTTTTTTTTTTTTGGGGAATTGCATGTGTGTGTGGCTCCCTGCGATCTCTGTTTGTGTTTTCCGAGTACTTGGTTATGGTAATCGAATTTCAAATTATTGCCATGAGCTATATCCGAAAGGGGAAGGGAGGGGGAGTGGGGTGGAAAACACCGGAATATGTCGCTCGCCTTTTTTTTTTGATTCCTTTCCTTTTCGATTTTCCTATGCCAAAAGTTTTTTTTGGGCTGCCCTTTGTTGTTCTTGTTGCGGAAGATGAATCTGTTCTTTTTTCAGTTTTTCTTCAATGTTTTTTTGTGTTTATGTTTTGGCTAGTTGCTGTTGATGTTTTCGCCTCGTCTGTCTGTGTGTTTTCCCGAGGTTTTTCCTGTTTTTCCCTCCTCGTTTTGCTGTTATTGTTGTTTACATCCTGTTTTTGGCGCGCTTTGAATATTTTGCGGTGCATGTTTTGTCATGCAATAATTTAATTGTCGGATTTGGCAGCTTAAAAGCAGCCGGCCGCCCCCGATATTTGCCGCCCACAAATGTGGGGGCGTGGCAGGTGTGGGACGATTGTTTGTTTGTTTGTTTGCATGTCCGTCTGTCCGTCCGTCCGCCTGACACTTTGTGCTTTATTTATGTTTGGATTTGGCTTGCTGATGTTGTTTGGGCTTTTGTGTTTTGTTTTCTTTTGACAAATTGCTTAAATTTGTTTGCTCAAGAGTGTTTTTTCTGTTGCGTTAAATTTACATAAATCATTTTAGTAACTTTGCTATGAAGGTGAGTTCACTTTAATTTTGTGCATGTTTTTATGGTTTTAACACTGTGTTCAAATAGATTTTAAAAGGGATATAGGGCTTAACGAGTTTTTTCACAATAAATAAAACTATTTTTTAGTAAATAAAGATATCCAAGAATTATATAAAATGATCATTATTTATTGACCTACTTGCTTTTAATAAAGTGATTTAAATATTTATAAAATGGTAATGTTTATGTTAGTTAAAGAATTATATTAAGTAGTTATGACAACCTTAATAAAATCAAAAAATCTTTTCTTAGCAATGACTTAATTCGGCATTTTCTAATCTCCTTTGCGTCACTGGCTAAAATGTCCTTGAAACAGGACGACAAATGGCATTCCCTCTGAAGCTATACTTAAATTATAAGCACTCAAGGACTGTTTATTTTGTATATTTATAATCTCCTCCCTATTTTTATTATCCGTGTCAGTTGGTAGTGCCAGCGGAGTGGCATTATAATTAATAATCAACAGCAGCTTAAAGATTTTAATTAAAATCAACGACAGACTGCAGCAGTTCAAGTTGCATCTTCCCATTTGCCGTTTTCCATTCTGTTCCTTATCTCTGCGTATATTGTCAACTGGGGGCTGTGACCCCCTTACCGGGTAGACCACCCCGTAGCCACTCCGGTAACCACCTCCCTGGGAATGGTTACCCCTCAGCCCGATCGACCTGCGTTGATTTCTTTTAATTTAGCCGCAATGACCTGCATCGAAATGCTTTTGTGTGCATGTGTTGGCTTTCCTGGATGTCCTGGATCCTGCATCCCCTGCAAAGGATACTTCCCCCCTCCCTCTTTTCTCCCCCCCTTCGACTTCAGCTCCAATTTAAGCTGCAATTCGTTTCCTTGGCAACTTAGCCAAGTTTCAGTTTCAGTTGCAATTACTTGGCGCACCTGAAGTGGACAACAACAACAACAGAGGCGATGGGGTGGAGGGGTCAAAGGTTAGTTTGTTTGTTTGTATTTGCTGCTGTTGTTGCGGTGACGGTGCTGATTCCATCCTTTGCCATTTTTACTTTTTGTTTTTTTCTTACCAGGATTCACCATTCTGCAGTATTTTTTGCTATCGCTTTTCTGTTGACTTTGCGCTTTCTATTTACGCTCCGCTGTTGTTTGTTGAATTCCAACTGCAATTATGTGAATTTTCACCGTGCACAGCATAAAACATTTTCCCAGCACTCCGGTTCAAGCAGTTGGCCTGCAGCCTTCTGTTTGGCAGCTCCTGGCCAAGCTCAAAGTCAAACAGCGCCGGGAAAGTAAACTGAGCTTGAAAGTCAATAAGCGGGGGGCTGGGTTCCACCTGAGTTTCCGAGGATCTCAGCCGGAAAGTGTTGAAAAGCGTTTAAAGCTCTCCATTTCGCCTCCTTGATTTGGTCAACTGTTTTCAAAAGTTGCGAAGAGGTTCCAATATCCACAAAGCCTAGTGAAGTCAGGAAACTCTCAGAAGCTTAAAAGTCCTTAGGACAAAAGGTGAGCTTATCGTAGTCTTTTTAATTTTGCAACAATTTTCTTTTTGATATAAGTAATTAATAGTTTGTATATAAGTAATGTATAACTTGAAACTATGTCAAGAAACTGAAAAAGTAATTTACATGCTTAAAATTATTCCAATCCAAAGTTATTAGACAAATATATATAAATACCAGAAGAAATACGAACAGCTACAAAAACATAATTTCTTGGAATTATAAAATATATTATAAATAATAATTTTTATTAGCTTGCAAAATACAAATAGCAGGCCTTGGTATTCAACAAATTAACTCATTCATAGGAGCACTGACTTCTATGTCAATATTTCATTTCAATTGATTTTCTGGGTAGTCCAGAACCTATTTTCTAGTTTTTGTCATACTCCAAATCTCCAGTTTGTGAAAGGTATAAAGAAAAAACATGCCAAAACGTAAAAACAAAAATCAGGTAAGATATCAAAGTACTCTTTAATCTAATATATTTAACTGAATCTAAATATTTCCGCAGATATTATCGGAAATGATAGATGGTCCGAGGAAAGCTGCTGTTCGGCAGCCGCGAGTAAATCGGGAAAATCAAGTGATAAGCCGGAAATCGCCGAGGGTGCCGGTAGCCGCCAAAAGGAACACCCTTCCCCGCGCCCTGAAACCCAGTGTTATCCGCAAGATTTGCCGCTTGCCCCCGGAAAAGAACTTGGAGAATACGGAGGCGAAGGTTATGTATGTCAACTCGAGATTCAGTTTCCTAAACGGCGAGTGTAGTCAAACCGCTTGCCATGAGGCAGCCTGCCCCAAAAAGCGGAGTGCCCCGAAGCAAAAACCAAGGCAGAGAACTCGAGCCCCCAAAAAGACTTGATCCGAAGCAGTCCACGTATCTGAACATTCCTTCAAACATTCATTCCATACAAAGAGCTAAAGATTTCATGAGTCCCATGACCCAGGATTAACCTACGATCTATTCATATCCCTTCATCGATCTGTTTCATGTCCTGTGAAAATGCTTGTATTTTGTATACATTTGTACATGAATGAGTAAAGTATTCACATTTATTATATGTGAATTTCTATTGGCTGGTTTTCTCTGGTATTTACGATGTATATTTTTCTTATTCAAGTACCTATTTAAATATTGAAATTTAATGTCAAGATTAATATCTATAGATTTTTAACATGTATCTGTCTCATTGAAATTGAAAAGGATGCTGTCGCAGAACCTTAAGAAGGCCCATCGAAGTGCAAACCCTTGCTAGTTATTTGTCCTGCATGTGTTGTCCTTCCCCATTTTCTTAGTCCTTCAGAGGAGCTTTCCCCGGCATTCCGTTGGTGTCACGTAGACTTTTCGTTTGCTTTGAGTTTTCAGTTACACGATTTTTGAAAGAAACGAGGAGGATGAGGAGGAGCAGCCCCAGCTAAGCAATCACCAAATAAAAAGCCATCGGACAGTTGCTGAGCTCAGTTTCAATTTTCACTTAAAACAAAGTTGGCAAACGAAGGGAAAACGGAGGTGCAGAAGGACAAAAACCGGCTGAACTGCATCTCGCATCCACATCCTCATCCACATCTACTTCCACATCTACTTCCACATCCAAAGAATTCGAGGGTCGTTCGGGCGTTAACAAAGCGCGCGAGCCCGGCTGCCAAATTGTTTTGGCTGCCCCACAGAAAAAAAAATAATACCTTAGATACATTTTAAGCTAAAAACAATCATTGAACTATATACGTAAATATGCTATTGGCTTTCATCTTTAATTTGATATAAACATATGTCTTTTAAGTGTTCTTGTACCTTTTTTAATACAAGAATTAAATCACAAAACCAATATTGCTAGTTCGCGTATCTTAACCGTATCTTAAATTTTTGATTTAAACTTCTAACTCTCCTTTTTATTAATAGTTGCTTAAACACAAGGGCTATGTTCTTGCCATCTTTAAATTACTTTAAAGTACTAAAATGAATTTAATATTTTTAGTTGCATAAATTTCCAAACATAAGTTAATGTTGAATTTAAAATTGAAACTCTTGTGACTTCTAAACAGCTTAGAGATACATATTATAAGTTATTGCTGAGTGTTTTTCTCAGTGAATCTGTTGTTGGGTTTTGTAATCAGAGCAAAGTAGACGCAGACACATGACGGAACTGCCTTCCCCTTTCCCCTTTGGCTTACGTGATTTCAGGCTGCCAAATCACGGATCGGGTTGAGAGAAAATCGTGGAGTGGAGAAAAAAATCACGAGGAAATAAGGAAAAGCGAACAAAAAAATTATGCCGTCGGGTAGCCAAATATTTCTATGTGCTGCCATGATGAACCAGAAGCGGCAAAGGAAAAACAAAACCATAGCCAGATTTACAGAGCTCGGGGGCAAGAAAAAGTTTGTGTGGCTCACGTGACATTTGTTTTGGCAAGTGTCCTTTCCTCTATTGTCGTCAAATCAGCGAACGTACCTGCAATGAAAAATTAAGGAAGCACTTTTTAGTTGGTTGGTCTTAGTTTAAAGAAAGGTCTCCAGTTTTCAAGAACACAATAAATGTTATTAATCATAGTTTTTAGTATTTTACTTTCTTACCAAAAAGAGAGAAGGGTTAAATCATTAAATTCTGCGCAAACTCAGTTTTAAGGTATTTGGTTTAAAAAAGCCTACTATATCATAAAGCTCACATAGAAATATAGTTTCAGTTTCATAAAAATCGGAACCATCAGTTTTTTTTACACATTTATATGTTAGTTTCTAAGTTTCCGATGAATTGTACAAATGTGACCCATTACCAAATTTAAAATGGTAACCCTCAATTGGACTTCTAGAGGAAATACTAACGATCAAACAATATATCGGTAAATCGATATCCATGTTTTTAAGCATCGAAATCGAAATATTAAATATTACATATAGGTAAGAGCAGCGGTATATAAACATCGGCTTGACGAATTTTAGCCTCTGTTCTAGTTTAGTTTAAGTCATGCTTGCCACGATTATAATATTTAAACAATTGTTATATTAATCCCAGCAATAAAAGGCAAATAATTAAATGGTAATCAGAAAACAATGTATTGTATTTGTATTTTTATGCCTATCGTTTTCGTTTTTTGCCTCTTCCGAAACCAGCATTATAAGCATAATAAGCGCCCTCATAGGGAGTTGCGGTCGCGGGCCGAGGTCTCTTTGTGGTCGTCGTCTTCGGTTTAGAGTCTATCCAGTCTTTTATTACACCGTTCTGCTGCTTTTTGTCGTATCTCCGACGCATGCACTTTCCGAATTTTGGGTGCATGTAATACCCATGCTAAAAACGCAGTTTCTAGACTCTGATCTTTTCATTTTTAAAAAACCTTTCTTACCGCGCATTTAGTTCTTGTGCGTGCCAAGTTTGGCAGACAGGTGTTCATCAGAATAACCCAAGTGAATCCTGCGGCGCAGGGTGGCAACTCTGTTGGGAGGGATACACCCTCCAAAGACGACATTCCTCTGAAACTTATGAGACCAAACTATTGGATAGCTATTCTGATTTCAAGGGGAAAAAACATTTCGTCACACTTTAATATGAATGCAAAGCGGCTACCACACACAGTGGTATTCATTTTATTTATATTTTAGCGAAGTCGTTTAGTTAAAAATTATATACTTTATTATAATGTATATAAATACGAAAAATTAACCTCGAATTGAAGGCTGTTAAATACTGTTTATTTTGTAATGTTGTCCAAAAGCTAGTTGAAAAGTAATGAGGATCGTAGGGTTAACTATCTCTATAGCTCAATGTACGAATACCGATGCATTTCGTGGATACTTGAACAGATGCAGATACAAACTGCCATTAGGGCCTCTCCTCGGTTTGCGTTTAAAGTGTTCGCACTTTCCCGCACTCCTTTTCGCCCTCGAACACACGTTAATGGTCCTGTGCCAGGATCCTGTGCCAGGATGCGTGTGTGAAGGGGTGACAGGGGCAGGGGAACTTGCCTGGTTAAGTTTGGTTAGCTGATTGTGCTGCCATTCCATCATTGCCTTTGCCGCATCCCGGGTGCCGCTTTTAATGAGTGAAATGAAGTAGGATACTTGAATGAGCCGGTTGACTGCACGGCGAGTGGTGCCAAAAGAGTTCTGATTGCAAATTAATAAGCTGGTTTATGCAGTGATAAAACATTGTACAAAGCAAATTAAATATCATTTATTTAGATATCATTTATAAGAGTTAAGCTAACATATTAATTTAATTTATATTTAAATCTAAGAAACACTCTAAATATTTGTATGCAATTACAAATAGTTTACAAAGAGTTTAGTGTTTACTAAATAGTATTTTCATTTATTTATTTATGAACAGGTGTTTAAATGTTAACCTTTATAAAGATTATTGTTTTAAGCTAAATCTAAACTTTTTGTTCCACCCCTTGATACGCCATTTAGCGTTTGCCATTTGTCACTGCTATGCGATTGCCGGCCGGACCCCGTGGCGTATGCGCAATTTCAGCCAAGCGACTGGGGAAATCAACACCAGAGCTCACGAAAAGCATTAAGCTTGACTAAGTCTAGCTTCTTCCACTACACGGAAAGAAATGTGGGTAGGTTATCTCTATGTATTTAATAAAATATTGTAATTAAATTAATAATTTTTCCCATCTGCAGTAATTCATCTTTCTCTGCGTGCAAATTAGTTGCCAAGTCATTGAGTAGCGGCCAAGCCATGGCAATATTCAATGCCAAAGTGGGCGATAAGTTGGTAAAACTTTGCCCAGCAACGAAAAAAAAATGTTGCAGGTGGCAAATGTCAAAGCAGTGGAGCCTGGCAGTTGAAGGACAGCAGTCTCGTCCCGTTTGTTTGTTCGTTTGTTTGTTTGCCTTCGCTGGTGTTTGTGCCATTGTCGTTTGTGAACTGTCACACGGCGGAGAGTGCACTAAAAGTGTCGCCTTACGGCAACTGACTTGGAAAGATAATCGCGGGGGGTGTGATGGGTGGGCGGTGCAACTTTTGATAAAGGTTTATCTGGGCTGCCGGTGCAGCTTACCTTTTTGGCCGGGCAACAGTTTCAGCTGACTGGCTAAGTTGGCTTCAAGTTGCCACCGACTTGACTGACTTGACTTTCATCATCGTCGTGATCTGCTCCCCACTTAAGTTTCGCAAAGGGAGGCGAACAGAAAAAGTATCTTGGTATCTTGATGTCGCGACAACTTTCCTTTTTTCCCCCCTTTCTCCCTGCTCTTCATGTTTAGCATTTAATTATTTGAAAAATGCGCAATGGCGTTTCGTGTTTCCGAGGAGGAGAAGCCGGAAGGAAATCGGATTGGAACGGATGTGGGAAGTGGAGAAAGTAAGTATGCAAAAATGGCGATGAATTTAAGGAAGTGCGGAGTAGATGGAATTAATTAGAAATTATATACTTAACCTTTTAGAAAGGAATAGTCTGTAAATATAGTTTTTACATTGTTCGATTATTTATAATTTCTTTCAGATTAAATTTTCATTTTAATTGGTAATAAGATCTACCCCTCTAAATCAACGCTGGCCATCCTGCAAGTCATCGAAATCTTACCTAAGAATGGGTCAAACAATTTTTCAAGGTTTAAAAAGAAATTTAATTAATTTAATCCATATTTAGAGGTGTGATATTATAAAATCTGATTTAATTGGAAAAGGTGAAGGACTCGATATGGTGGGCCAACTTTTATGAACTTCATTTCATGTTTTTAAATGGATATTTAGATCATTTGGGTGGATAACTTTTCCAAGATCCACCCCATTTTATCTACGTCTGGCCATTCTTAAGTTAAATATTGATAGCTAAAAAGTCCCGCAGCTGAAATATGTTGCAACATGTTGTAGCTACAGTCGCATTGTTTGGCGTTTAAGTGGAAAAAAGGGAAATATATTGAAACAAGGACTGGCCAAAGAGACGGACGGGCAGACAACATCATCTGACAGTTTGGCTAACATTAAAAGCGGCAAAATGTTGCGGCGCTGCCTGCCAAATGACATGATTTCTCAGTTCTGATTCGGTTGCCACTCTGCACTCTCTTCAGTCCGCATTTCCACATTTCCACATCTCCACATTTCCCCACATCAACTTCAACTTCAAGAACTGAGCGAAACTTTTGCTTATCTGCGTCACAGCCGCAAAACCGAATCCCGACTCCAGCCAACCGCGTCGCCACCCCTTTCCACCTCCCTGCACTGAGGAAAACTAGTGCATCCTTAATTGGAAAGTCCTTAGATATTACATTAAGTCCTCTGGTATTTCAAAATAATTTGTATGCCTTTGCAGAGGCTATTTATAATTGCAATCAATAGTTTGCAACGCATTGAAGGAGGTAATGCCTGCTCTATTAAGTATATATATTCTTGATCAGCATCATCAAGAGATATATATCTAGATATATCCGTCTGTTCGTTCTTTTGACCATGTCTAAGCAAACTAATCTTTTAGTCTTTAAGCTATCTACATTATTTTTTTTTCACACATTTTTCTTACAGTGTATTTACACCATTCCCCTTGCAACTTCTGCAACGTCTTGAGGCAGATTGCAGCTTTTGTTGCTGCTGCTGTGTTTTTTGCTGCGCCATCGTTGGGTGCATCGGTTTGTCTGGTCCTTGGATGGCTGGCTCTCCTTCTTGGCCCTGTTATTTCTACACATGCTCGTCCAGGACTCGCTCCTTGTTGCTACTTTGGTACTTCGCCACTGCGCCGCTGCTGCTGTTTGTGCGTGTTTCATTTTATTTGTTGGCACAAAATTGGGTTTTAGTGGATTTTGTGGCAAATGATTTTTGCTGGCTGCCGTTACGCTTGCATAAACTTTAATTTAATTTTTGCCCAACGAAAAGAGCACAGAAGTTCCCTGAGCAGCTCAACAAAAAACAGGCCAAAAACAGAAATAAAAGTGTTCAAGTAAAATGTTGAAAAAAACGTGTTTAATATACGGGAATCATATGGGGACAAGGCTTGAGTTTTTCTTTTTGCTAACTTCAATTAAAATTTAGGTTTTTATCTTTGACCTGAATGGAGGCTAAATCAACCGTACAACAATATATATCTTTTTATGTGTTAAACGGTTCTCTTCAAAAGTTATAAATCTTTATAAACACTTTAATTGAGATAATCCAAGCACTTTGTTTTTTGAATGTCAGAACTCACAGCTACCAGGATTAAATTCCCGGAGCTATTAATACCAAGCTGTACAAATAAAAACTTTCGGATATCTCAACACTTGACTTTATCCGTAAAGTTTGCCTTCAAGTTTCGCCACTTCTCCGTTGATTTCGTTTCCCAATCGCTTTCAATCAACATGCGTATATTGAATTGAATATTTTGCGAAAAAGCCACAGGACACACTTCCATCAATTCGAATGTGTCTGCCAACATCTGTCTATATATTCAGCTATATTGCCACACAGAATGGGAGGAAGTTTTTTAAGAAATGCACAAAAGTGCAATTGAGTTGAAAGACGTGCCAAAGGGCGTGCACCAGCTAGAAAAGCCATAAAAATGGCAGCTAAACGTTGCAGGATGGAGGGGCATCCCCTGCTCAGGTGAAAAATTATAGCGTAAAATTCATATTTGATGACTTTTTGATTGCCAAACCGAATTCTGCTGCCCTCCTCCAACGCAGCCCAACCCAACTCAACTCAACTCAATCCGAGCCAAACCGAACCGCAATCCCAACCTCAGATTGTGCCTTCAGCTCCGGATTCACACAGCCACATAATGCAGGGAAAAGTGCTTTCAATGGCGTCATTGTCAAGCGTTCTTGCCGCCATCGTCGCAATCATCATCATCATCGTTATCATCGCATACATCCACATCCACATCCACATCCACCTGCACCTGAACTGCACTCTCTATATGTGAACCCTGTGTAGTGGCTGATCCAAAGCAATGCCAAAGCTCCGGGATTAAGCTGCAGCTGGCTTTGAACTGGATGGATGGATGGATGGATGGATGGATGGATGGGTGGATGGAAGGTTGCCTGGTTGGCTGGCAGCTGGGTGCCCCGGATTTTTCCTTTCATTTTTCCATATTTCGTGTCGTTTGTCGTCCTCGAGTCCTGCTGATGATGACGAGGTGCTCGAGTTTGGATTGTAGGCAGGGCAGAGTCTTTCAATGGCAACGGGAATGCGGTTCCAACTCTCAAGATGAATTTCGGAGGCACAAGGACTCGATTAACGAGCCTCGGCTTAATGGTCATTTCAAATGCCTTTTTTACCGAAGTGTTTCCTTGTTTTGAACTTTAGATTGTCTAACTAACTTGTTACCTATTTGAAAAATAAAATTGTTTACCTCTTTTTGTTTCATCCGTTTTTATTATTTACTTAAAGCCAATTCCATCGACCTTACTAATTATAAATCGAAGTGTTTCCTTGTTTTGAACTGTAGATTGTTTAGTTATCTAGACTAAAACTAAATTTGTTTACCTCTTTTTGTTTGATCCGTTTTTATTAATTACTTAAAGCGTATTCCATCGATCTTTCTAATTTTAAATCAGAGCTCTGGCTACATTTTAAATCCTGAAGGATCCAAGTGATCAATATTAATTAGGCCGCCAAACTGAGATTGAAAGTACTCGCGACTCTTTAAATCCCTAAAACCCATTAATCGCTTGACTTTTTTCCGTGTCAGCCGAGTAATTTCAATTAATGAGCCGAAATGAGGTCCTTTCGGCACCGGTCCCTCGTCCTCGCGGAATGGTGTTGATGTGACGGGCCACGAATGCTGATGACACTAATGCTCGTTCACACGCACACCCGAACTGTGACCCATGGCCAGGATTCAGGATCCAGGACGAAGGACGCAGGACGTCAATGTGTTAATGACTCGATGGCATTGCATAAAACGGCTACGCTAATTTGCATTGTTCTGCGGGTGTGGGAGTGTGTTAGTGTGTGTGAATTGGCCGCTGTCAACGTTGTCCTGCCACTCGTGTGTAATGATTTGTGCCAGTTTTTCCAGCTTTTCCCGCTTTTCCCGCTCTACCCGCCGTTCCTCAGCAAACTCGGCAGCCCATCGGGCTTATGTCATACAATTAATAAAAGTTTTCACGCCCGCAAAAAAAGGAAAATAATGAGCAAGGCTACAAGCATTTTGTCACACGTTGACCTTAATTACTCGGGGATTTTTTATAGGGCCATTAGGTTCCAAATTTAAAGAGTTCTAATGTTGAATATTAAAGCCAAGAGTTTGTCGCGTGCCTAATTAAGATTGATGGCATAATTTGGGTAAAGATTTCTCTCTCCATGTGTTATGGTTGAAAATTCAAATGATTCAATGATATGTTTTCTGAATACTAGGTAATTAAAGAGTTATTGAACAAATTTATATTTGTATTTTTTGGGAATAAATGCGACAACCAAATACTAACGCCATTTCACAGATTAGAGCTTCCTGGTCTTAATTGTGGGACATAATATAAATTTCACGATATTAACTCTTTACTGCCAATAAAAGTTTTACGATAGCGGGCAAATTTTACCATAAACTCATTTCAGCAGCACTCGCATTTTTGATTTTATAATCCCCTCAATAACGCATCGTTGACCGCGAATCGATTTATTAATCAAGCGAATTTGTTTGCCTCGCCATAACCTTTCACCTCGCCCAACTCCCGTGAATTTTTGAGGAAGTGGAACTAGTCTGACTGGCGCTTGCAGATCCGAATCCCAATCCCAATCCCAGTACCAATCCAAATCCAAATCCAAATCCAACTCCGACTGTGAACTGTGACGACAACAATTCCAGCGATTTTTATATGCCATTTGGCCGTTTTACAACTTTGCTGGCGCCTGGCTTATGCCGAACCCAAACCAACTGTGGCGCTCTTCTTATGGCCACGTTTGCAGCCGGTTGTTGCCGTTGTTTTTGCCATTGGCGCCATGGTGGGCTGGCCAAAAGCGGATTCCCAGCCATTCCATTCCCTCGTCCTAGAACCATTTTTTCCCGTCACTCGGGGACGTCGCGTGTTTGGGCCATTTTCCGTTTTCATGGCGTTCGTCGCCAAAATGGCGTTGCGTGCTGCCGCGAAATGTTTGTTGAAAATTGCTCAAATGGGGCTTAATACAGTGAATCGAAGCAAAGGTTACCCTATGCTGGAATCCTACCATTCAACACTTCTCAGAAAGGGCAGAAATTACGATGTTAAAAGATATTTCTAGTATACTTCATTAATTATAAATATATTTACTTAATAATAGTGAATGCATTTCAATGACCTAGATATAAAATATAGTGCGATGTTATCTTAAATTAATTATTATTAATTAGATAAATGTAAAATATTTTTAGGATAAATATTTACCAAAATGTATTCTATTTAACATTACATAATCCCGATTTTATCCAACAAAAGAGGGTATATCTGTTAGGAAAATTGCATGGTAGTTTGGGTCCAAGGATCTGCCAGTATTAGTGACAAACACATTGAAATTTGTATGCGTCACAATCGTCGGAGTCGCAGTCGCAATAACAATCACTGTGAAAAAGGCGAATCAAGTCATTGCCAAAGGAGAAGCTAAAATCATAAAAAGATTTATGGCGCTTTCAAGGCGAAAGAGCCAAAGTATTCACAGTGACAAAGGGAACTGGGAAATGCGAGTGGAAAAAGGAGCCGGAAAACTGCGTGCGAAAAGTGCTGTGTGTTCGGGAGGAAATACGAGCCATTGGGGCCAATAAAATATATGAACAAAGTCCCATTAAGGAGGTAAAGTTCATAGAGAAAATCACCAAAAAGTTGTCTATGCGGAATGTCGACATGATGATACATAAATCAAGATGTCAATGTTACTTTATGGACTTGGCAAAGGTACCAGATGACAGAAGTTAATATTTGCCAGGCTATATGAAAGCCATTTCCCCCTATTATCTGCTGCCTTCATATCCATTTTAGTTGTGGACTTTCTCCCTTTTTCGGGCCTCCCAATTTTGGCATTGTTTTAATGCAGAAAACTTTGGGGGCGTGGGTGGAAAGTTTCGGGGGTGGTCCCCTTTTCCATTGTGCAATTGGAAACTTTGTGCAACAATAAAATGGCTGCCAAAAAAATAAAAATATCAGAGCAAAGCAAAGGCAGCAGGCTAACAATGCAGGCAGTGTAAAAAAAAGGAGGAAAAATAAAACAAAGTGCAAGTCGCCTGGCGTAGCCTACTTACGGGCAGGAAAATTGTGTGGGGGGGTGGTGGTGGGTGGGAAAACAGACGCCGCATTTAAACTCTCGACATCCGCGGCGACTTCCGGAGCGGTAAATTATGCAGGCCTCGTGAAATATCACTCATTGTTCTCGCCATATGATTTTAATCGCCAACTGGCACAAATATAAAATAATCCGCCACTATGTGCTTTAAATATTTTATGTTGCCAGTGATTAAATGTATGTCAAAGGTAAATTAAATAGAGATTTTGTACGATTTATGAGAAAAGAACGATCGATTTTTGAAGATATAAATTTCTGATGAACCTTTGCCGAGTCAGCGAATAGGCACAAATTGATGTACCAACTGAGATTGAAATGCTTTCTCAGTGACTTCTCGATTTCAGCTACGCAATGGACATCGATCAAAATTTACATCTGTGGCAGGTGGAGATGGATTCCGTGTGTTGCTCATACGCCACGTTGCACATTGAATGTTTATGACTTCTCCGCACATAACAATCCAAATCCAATCGAAATCGGAATGGAGCCGAAATTGATAGTCGTGACATATTGAAGTCTGGAGGAGAGAGTTTCGGCGAGAATCAAGGATAGTTGAGAGATTGGATGCCTTCTGGAGTGGAAATAATCGACATCCCGTTCAGGAGTTCAATATGCTAGTTTGGGCTTTAATTAATTTATGGACTTACAAAGAATACTTTCAATTATTAGACTTTTGAGTCTTGATTTGCAGCGTCTTAGGATAATTCACGTATTGGTTATACTCAATAATATAGCTTATCATTTATTTTTTAAAATTTTTGCATTAGTCATAAAAGGTTACATCATCATTGTTTGACATTACCATTTTATGTTTGAATGCCAATTGATTCCGATTTTAACAACTAGTTTAAATTAAATTATATTTTTGGACAATTTTTTTCCAGGATTTTAATAATTACTTGTGGATTGGGTATTCATTTTGTGCTTGTTACTAAAAGGTTATATTACATTTGAAATAGAGGGTAAATAGAGTTTTATTTTATTGATATTTTAGAGGATGAAGTATATAAAAAACTATGAGATATTTTAAGCAAAGAAAAATTAAATGCAAGTCGTTGTGTGGCTGAAGTAAAAACTGGCAACGAGATTGAAATGTTTGCGTATGAAATTAACACCATCCGGTGCGAAGTGCGAAAACACAGACTCACTCAAACAAGCTCACTCGTACGTACACGTTGAAATGCAAATGCGAATTGCATTTGTTTGCGTTGTGTCATTTGTCGCTTGGCTGAGACCGAAATGATAACCTGAGGGGCAGGTGGTGGGGGCAACTCTCAGCTGGCAAATGTGGCAACTTGTTACAAAATTCATCAACTTATGAAATATAAATCACACACCCGAGCAACCCACTGAGTCAGATAAAAGGACGGAGTGCCAGTTCACGTAGAATATTCTACGAAATCATTAGTTTTGCAGATCCAAATGGCTTAAAATAATTTGAAACCATATTCCCTAGTAGGCTATCAAACTGGACAGTGGGGCAAATCGGGCCTATTTAGCAAGTTTTAGCCTTTATTGGTGCCTTTAAAGCTGATTTGCTGAAGAAAAGCTGTTTGGTTTACGAGCAAATATGTTTTTCATTGATTTACCAATTCTAATTAATATTTATTGGAGACTATTTAATTTAGTTTTATTTTAAACGATTCAACCCATTGTACATGCTGCTTTGACTATTTTAAATTCGACCTCAGCAGGCCGATTTTTCGAAATGCCAAGGCCTGAATCATCTGGTTGGCAGTACACATCATTCCAACGCCATCACCCCAACCGTTAACAACTACTATAAGAGAAATTCGTTTTCACCTCGCCGTTTTTTCGACTTAATCAGGCAAGTACTAACAAAAAAAGTACTGTAAAAAAAAAAATAGAAGAAAATTTGGAAAAATGTAGAAAAATTTTTAAACATACAAGGACTACATTTTTTTTTTTCTTTTTTTTCTCTTTTCAGTCCAAGATGAGTGATGAAGAAGCACCAGCCGAAGGAGGTGAGGGGGCAGGAGACGAGGCAGCAGCAGCGCCCGACACCACCACCGCTCCGGCCGTGGACACCACCACTGCGGGCGCCAGGATGATGATGAACCACCCGTGGTTGACCGCCGCCGCGGTGGCCCTCTATGCCACCAAGGTCATGTGGGTCAAGTTCCGAGCCGTCGGACTGGACAAACAGAAAAGGCGGCCCAAAAACCGGCAAGACAAGTCGAAGCCGCAGGATAACGAGGATAATGGTTCAGAGTCTGAATCTGAGGCGGATACCGATGCAGAAGATGCAGGGGAACCCAAGGAAGCAGAGGATCTGCCTGCAGACCTGGACGCAGATGAAGTGGACCCACTGGAGCGATTAGAGATTGCCCATCGATCTATCGAGGTGCTGGCCGCCGACCACTGATCTTCGAGCCGGGGATGAAGGACCATAACAGGACACTGCACAATCACACCTGACAAGGACACGTAACTGTTGTAATGCTTGCGATTTAACTAGGGGAGGTTCGTCGAGCCACGTTGGAAACTAACCACCACATTGGGGGCCACAAATTATTAGTTTTTAAAAAATTCTTGTCGAAGCCTTTTGGTTTTTTATTTCATTTTTATGCTGCGATGAGAGTACAATGTTAACTAAAAATATAAGCCATTTGGAAAAGTCAAAAGTAAAGTTTAATGGATAGAGGGGGAAAATAAAATGCATCTTTAATTTGAGAAGCAATTAAATCAGTTTAAAATTCGGACTAAATCGACTGAGGCCCTTATAAAAGCTATCAAATCTGTAAGTTATATTTATACTTTACATTTTTATTGATTTGTAACAATTTTGACACCTTGCTGTTGATACAGCCTGCGTCTCCCGGATCCAGTTTTTGTTCCCGTTTCCGTCTCGATCGATCAATCAAAAAACCGGGCGACGCGTCATTATGTCATAGTGGTGGAAAAAGGAAAAACGAAAAGCGAAAAAAAAGAAAATCGGCAGCGGCAAACGGGAAATTCATTGGCAGGCAGCAGCGGTCACGGAAACTGGGGCACATGCAACTGAAAACTGAAACCGAGCGGTGTCTGTGTGCTCAGCATGTTTGCACCCGCCATCATCATCCTGTCGCCAAAAGCCCGCCCCAGATAACCCCTGTCCCCCTCTCCCCCCCTCGGTCAATTGTCGATCGGGTGTTGGTGGGAGGGGGGAGGGGGCAGGAAGAGGAAGAGGCTAATGAATGCCGCTGTCAATTAGCAATGGGCGTTGGTAAATCAATTCAATGACACTGTGGCTCTGGTTAAAGTGGCATTCTGCCATGGCACTTGTTTGAAAAAGGTCTGCATTCCGGGGAAGTGTTAAATGACATTAAATTTAGGCTTAGGAATGGATTTCTTTAATTCAATTTACAGAGATTGCGATACCTTTAAAATATTCTCGATTTAAACCCTAATCCCGAAAACCTAAAACATATATATTTAACAGATATTTTCTTGGGTCCCCTGATTGATTGTATTTTTTTTAAGGAATGCATTAGAACAGTTGAGTTTCTTAAGGAAATATTCCATTACAGTTCACTGAAAAAATGATTAAACGATTTGGTTTTAAGAAATAATAAAAAAGATACCGCTTATGTAGATATATTGGAATTCCCGCCGTAGCTTAAGTTTCCAATTTTATCTCCAATAAAATAAATAAATATCCCACAATACCAATTCCTATTTTAATCCCATGCTAACCAATTCTCTTAGCACTAAGTTATTTTTATTACTCCATATATGTAACACTCTTCATGATCGACAGTAAGTAATTGAAAACCACTGAGGCAGCGGAAACAATTACCTGTTTTAGTGCCCATTTTATTGCATGATGCATGATGGATGGCTTAGTTAAATAATTTCTTCAAATTTCGCATTATTTAATTATCAATAAAATGTGCCAATTGTGCTGCCTCCGTGAGTCTTTTAATTGTTAGTGCTACTGCCGCTGATGTTGCTGAAGTCTGAATGCAACTGCGGATTGATTTCGTAACATGCCACAGAAACGTGCTCTAAATAAAGTAAAATGCACCGCCGACAAGCAACTCTAAACACCAACAACTTTCGTTATATATTACACATTTTTTTTTGTTCAGCTTCTCTTCGTTTTTTGTTTGGTTTCTTTTACACGAACAAACACACACACACACTTTTTTGCCACTCGATTTCCTTGACGGCTTTTCCTCAAATGATTTAAGCCTCGCTTTACTTTTTTCTGACTCGAATTCAATATATTTTATCTCTGGTTTCTTTTCACATAATAAACGCGCTTTTGGCATAATTGCCGCAGCGGTTTGGGGGGTGGAAAATCGAGTGGAGCGGGTCGATAATTATGATGTTGCATTGTTGTTGTGGCTATCGTCATCGCCTGCCACGATAATGTGCCGTTTGCCCCGCCAATCTCGACCCCTCTACCCCCTCCCCGCTTTTCCAGGCCGCCTTTTCCCCCCTCCTCCGCCCCTCGACTTTTAGCGGAGTCCGCGCTTTCGTGTAATATTTGCTCACAATTATTGCGAGACGACGCAGCCACATAGTGGTTAATGTTGGCATGGCTGTTGTTGCTTGCCAGTTGCGGTTGCATGTTGCAATAACAATTTCGCTTTCGCTTTCCAGTAAGGTAAGTCTTTTAATACCCCATGACCATTGGGAGAAGCGGGAATGTCGGACAAGGAATAATAGTGAGTAAGAATAAATTCTTATTTATTCATGGGTGTCACAAATTTCAATACAGATTCAATAGAAATGTATAAAATTTCCTATTCTGGTAAATCAAATGTCTAAATCAAATAGAACTATTTACTTGATATATATGTTATTATGTGGTCCATATTTATGTGGAATTTAATTTGATAAAATATATATTTATTATTTAAGTTATTATATCTCATATGTAATGAAATTTATATAAGCAGGTCAGATAATTTTGTTCAAATTTTGTTTGTTAACTTTGTTCTTAACTTGGTTCTAACTACATAAATTCCTAGTTGTCTCTATTTTGTTATACTTACAGTTTGGTGAACTAAACACCCTCCTTCTAATTTGCGAATATTTAATGGGTATTTCCAGAGTCTAATACCCAAGACTAATTCTGACACGGATCGGTTTTAATTGTGACTCATTTGGCGAGGGGCGCGACATGAAAGTCAATGCGCCAGCGGATGCAACATGCGAGTGGGCTGGAAAACAGCGGAATACAGTTGCAGTGGGAGGGGTGGGGAAGGGGAAGGGGGGGATTCGGTGGACTGGGAGCGATTAGAGCTAGATCTGGTTGGAAAGAGTTGTGTGCGACACTCGTATTGCCCATTGCCGTATTCCGCAAGTGCCACACCACCATTCTATGGCTTCATTCAGAGCGCTTGCATTTTACGACCATCGATAACAGAGCCCGGACCATTTCCCCAAGTGTTTAAGTTATTGGGAGTGCCAGAAACCAGTTGAATAAATTGGCCAAGAAGTGCGGGCATTTAAAATATTCAAGGAAAAAGAGTAGGGAATTTTTAAAAATATTTTTTTGGCATACTTAAAAATTAGTTAAGACCTTAAACAGACTTTTTTATATAAAACATATAAACATTTTTGTTAATTCAATAAAGAATTGTATTATAAGGAATTATAAATTCTCTCATTACAGCTTGCTCTTAACATAATTTTTACCCCATCTTGGTAATAATATAAAACAGTTTTATCCGAGTGCAGTCTCTGCAGCGTATTTCGTTTCATTCGAATCCATTACGCAGTAAAGTTTCTCATTCAAAGTTTTAATAACACGGAAATGCAGAGAGCCCCGAACCCAAAAGCAATCCCCACTTCACGCACCCAAAAAAAAAACGGAAGACCTAAAGGAAAACAAATGAGCAAAGGATTAAAAAAGTTTCCTGCCTTCTGCTTTTCCCGCTTTTATTAATTTTTTTTCCCCAGACTTTCTGGGTGAATTCAATTTAAATTTAATTACTTCAAATGCAAACTTTTGACACATATTCGGGGGTTGGGGGAGGTTAATAAGGAGGAGGGCAAAGTCAAGTAAGTCGACTTATTTGTCTGGCAGTCATTTAGCCGTTTCCCTGATTTAATTGTAAAGTCTACTCAGCAATTGCCCCGCGGTCCTTGGCTAATCAGATCAACATTATTAGCCGAGGCAACAAAGCAATTCCAATCCTTTTTCCCCAACTTCCCACACTTTCCGCCCACAAATTGTCCCATCTGGAGCCCGTTTTCATTACATTTTGTCGTCTCATTGATGTTTGCCCTGCTCAGAGCATAGAGCTCTGAGTTTAGAGCTCAGAGCTGTTCTTGTCTGATATTAATCCGATTGTCTCCGACATAATCTTCCCGGCCGTCTGTAGTTGTGGGTGTTTGCATACGAGCATGTTTATGAATTGTTGATAGTGCCATGCGGCAAAATGCCTGAGTATATTGAAAACTTTTCTCGTGTTGACTTTGATAAGTCGCTTGTCTATAGTTCCATGCCATGTTAATTTAAAGTCGGATTAGACGTCTAAACTGATTGTGTTTTATAGTTATGGCAAATAAAAGCCTTTGTATCTTTAATTTACAAATATATTGTCCCAGTTAATATTAGTGTAAGTACTCGTTGTTGTCCATCTATTAATTTTTGTTTATTGTTAGTTGCCTATATGTTTTGTTTTAATATCATTCTGCTATTCCACCTTTTGATAAAATAATTTATTTAATGACAACTTAATAATTTAGTTTTAGAAACTTAAAGCTAGTGAATTTTAGTCTCAGCCCAAATAATACTCATAATATCATAATATCATATAATAATATCATAATATCGTAATATCATAACAATTAAAGCCTTTGTAGTTGTAGTGTCTTTAACTTGCAAATACTTTTTCTCAGTGGATATTATTGCAGTAACTCGTTTTTAAATCATTTGATTAACTTTATATATATTTAATGATATTGTTGTATTTGTTGTTTGTTTGTTGTTTATACGTTTTGTTTTAATATTTCACCTTTTGATTGCCAAAATAATTTATTTAATTCTACTTAAATAATTTAGTTTGCGAAACTTAAAGCTGGTGAATTATAGTCTCAACCCAAATAATAGTCTCATGGCAATTAAAGCATTTGCAGTTGCAATACCTTTTACTTATAAATACTTTTTCTCAGTTAATATTAGTCCAACTACTCGTTAATAATCATTCGATTCATTTTTTTCATTGTTAATTTTATATCTATCTAATAATATTAATGTTTTGTCGTTTGTTTTCTTAACGTTTTTGTTTAAAATCAAACTGCTATTTCACCTTTTGATAGCCAAAATAATTTATTTAATGCTACCTAAATAATTTAGTTTCAGAAACTTAAAGCTAGTGAATTATAGTCTCAACCCAAGACGCCGTCGACATTTTGGGGCTGTGTGAAAGCGCCAGAAAGTGACTTTCTGGCGCCGCCAGGAAACGGAGATTCGGAAAACCAGGAAACGGGGACGGAAAGAAAGGACGAAGGAATCGCCGGGGCGGGCCAAAAGTAACATGTTGGCATCGTCTAGAAACTTACAAACATGACATTAAATGTTGCCCGTTCGCAGACGCCGAGTAGAAGTAGAAGCAGGTGAAAGGAGCAGCGACACGAAGGATGCAGGCTGGAAAAGTTTTCGGTGGCGCAGCTGAGGAGATTTCCT